ACCCCCCCTAATCCCCGAAAGTTTCTCAGCTACTCAGCAAGCGCAGTACAGCCCCCAACTCAGATTTGAAAAAAAAAACAGTGGATTGGCTGCAGTACAGTCGGTGGTTGGGGTCGGCGGTCGGCAGATATGCAACCCTGCTGCTCACCAATAAAAAACAAGCCGGTGCGGCACCTTTTTTTTTTTTTTTTTTGTGCGTGGCGCCACCAGCCATTTCGGTCTAGTAGGCCTCACCCTGAAGGATGTGGTGCATTAGTGGCTGTGTCGGATTAAAATGGCAGGGAAAGATACTGGTGGCTCAAGCAATAAAATGGGATGAAATTCAGTAAGCAATGAGCATATCAAATAATCAAAAAGCAGTTAAGCTATCTAAAGTATTGCGCGTGATGCAGCATGATCTGCGGGCAGCGCCGCACTTGCTCATTGTTTCTAGACGGCCGTTCTCACTGCAGATGGAAACTCGGCTGCACTTTCTTTTCTTGTTTGGCAGACCGTATTTACGAAGACAGATTGCGAAGTGGAAGCATCAGCTTGCAGATCTGGACAGAAAAGAAGCAGACTATCGACGTAACGCTGCAGCATCTGCTCAGAAGTTCCAACAAACTTGTGAGGAGCTCGGAATTCAGGTCAGGTCGTTGACGAGAGACAAGTGAAGGATTTGTTTCTCTCCTCCAATCCTCGGAACCTATCTGCGACAAGCAATATCTATGCATGCCAGAGTCATCGTTCATGACTGTTGATAAATTGTATATGTCTCAGTAATGCTGATCCTATGGATCGATCAGTGGAACTCGACCTGGCCGATGGGTGGATGCATGAGCTGCACACAGATGATGGACGGCTTTCTGGGAGGGTGAAAGAGATGGATGAATTCTAGAGTTGATGAATCTGAAACGAGTGTGCGTGCAGCATACCCTCGGGCCTCGGATAATAAAATTGGAATGATTCCCATGTTCATGTTCACACCAAGTTGCAAACCTAACAACACACTAGATGAAATCCAGAGCCACTCAATATGCGAACTCAAAGTCGATCGAAAAAACACGGTCTTATGCACGTGAGTCTGTAATACTCTGTATACATCTGACTGGGCGGCTATGGCTGCCAGCAAAAACAACAATGGATGAACTCTCCCGAGTCAACCCTCAGGCCTCTCTCTCCTCTTGAATGTCTTCTATCTCCCTCCCCTGTCCATCCCCCTGTCCATGGTACACCTATTGCTATGTTGCCCTGCCCCGGTTAACTACCGACTGCCTAGTTTCTGTCTCTCACTGTCTGCTTCACTCGTCACATGGTCCCGTCTTCGCACAGCGTAAGCACGAGTCAAATGAATGCTCTGCTCTCATATGCCACGATTGGGCTTCCAACCCATGGACATTGCAGACCCGGTTGACCTAGCACCTTGCTGGCTTGGGCTTCACAGTCTCTGGCATTTCTGGAGATTTTGTGGACCGACATTGGACCCTGGGCTGCAGATCGACTGGATTGGACTGGACTGGATCCAACCGGCCCAGCAGACCCTACACTACCTGTGACCGAACGGACTAGCTGCGGTGCTTTTATATGTGATGATTGGGCTTCTAACCCTTGGACATGCGGACCCGGTTGACCTAGTACCTTGCTTGCTTGGGCCTCACAGTTGTTGACATTTCTCGAGAATTTGTCGACCGACCTTGGACCCTGGGCTGCAGACCGACTGGACTGGACTGGACTGGATCCAACTGTCAGCGGACCCTACATTACCTGGGACCGAGAGGACTGAACTAGACTGGTCCATCTAGCCTAGTGAACCCTATGCTACCGAAATCCTACCTGAGACCAAATTGACCGATTACTGGACCCCTTCTTGGACTCTGTGACCCAACGGGCCCAACGTACTGAGACTGCAGGTTCCTTGCAAAAAATCCCTTTGGCAGCTGTTTCTTTTTCTTTTTCTTTTTTTCTTGGACCATATCTCAACTCACACGTGTCATCCGTGCACAGGGGCCATGCTAATCTTCTCTGTATGGTTCCCATTTTTAACGGATGTCCCGGAGGACCTTTGGCAGTTGTTTCATTCTATTGCCGGTCTACTTTTTCTTTGATGGATGCAGTTCCTTGCAAAAAGCCCTTTGGCAGCTGTTTCTTTTTCTTTTTGATTTTGGTTGGACCATATCTCAACTCACACGTGTCATCCTTGCACAGAGGCTATGCCAATCTTCTCTGTATTGTTCCAATTTTAATGACATGTCCGGGAGGACCTTTGGCAGTTGTTTCATTCTACTGCCTGTCTACTTCTTCTTTGATGGGTGATCACGATGCATGGATACTGCTGTGCCCTATCACACAATGTAACACGTCCAGTGGTGACAAAGTTCTTGGTGCATATTCTGCAGAAACTGAATTGATTGCCAAGTTGACAATGTGAAAAATGACGCAATGGTTTCATGACCAAATTGTTCAGTCTGCACAAGTACGCCTCCTTATTGACATGTATCACTCTGAGGATAGAGATGATGAAGGACAGGGGAGTGTTCAGAATCACAGAGCCAGGACGATATCAGATATAAATGCAAGCCATAAAGCAAACCATATGCGGAAGCAAAAGTACATTAACCTGTGTGGTTATTATAATTTAGATTCAGGGTTGCAATCCTGGACGGTCGGCGGCCCTTGACTGGTCAGCTGCCGACCCGCTAACCGATCGGCTGGTCGGCACCTATCGATAGGGGGTCGTCGACACCCCACAAAAAAAAAAGGGGTCCAGAACCCCTAATAACACCACCAACACCCCCATAGCGGCCCCCAATACCCCCATACCCCCCCCCCCTCCCCCCCCCCCCCCCCCCAAGACCCCCCCCACACCACCCCCCCCCCACCCCCCCACCCCCGCCCCAACCCCCCAATCCCCCCCCACCCCCCCCCACCCCCCCCCCCCCCCCCCCCCCCCCCCCCCCCCCCCCCCCCCCCCCCCCCCCCCCCCCCCACCCCCCACCCCTTCACCCCCTCACCCCCTCCCCCACTCCCCCACCTCCCCGCCCACACCCCCCCTCCACACCCCCCCTCATCCCCAAAAGTTTCTCAGCGGATTTGGGCTGTACTCAGCAAGCGCAGTACAGCCCCCAACTCAGATTTGAAAAAAAGCAAGTGGATATCTGACTGGTCGGCAGACCGCGGACTGGTCGGCCCTACTGGTCAGCTGCAATACGGTCGGCGGTTGGGGTCGGCGGTCGGCAGGGATGCAACCCTGATTTAGAATGATATATGCTAAGTTACCAACACATATGGTTCTGACTCAATCTGCCGTGATTGGTTGTCATGCGCGGTGCTTTCGACGGCACATATGTTGCAAACTGCTGCTACTGCTGGTGTTGCCGATTGATGGTACAATGGCATGCGGCTCTTGGAATGCTGATAAAATAGCAGCAGCAGCAGTTACAGCTGCCTCTGCTGCCTGCTTCTGCAGGCCAAACCAGCAGAACCCTGCAGTGCTCCGATGTGGTGAACGCAGGTTGTCACCGACGAAGCAGAATACGCTAATATATTTCTGAACGTGACTCAACACGACTCAAGATCTCATGCAACTGTTTAGTACACAGATCATGAGTTTGAATCTTGATGGAATGCTCTGGATACAATAACGTTAGGGGTTACTGCCTCCAAAGGAGTCCAAAGGGAAAAAAAAGAAGTGCATAGACAATCTTGGCAGGTCCTGCAATGGTCTGTATGTTGGTTGGAATTGGCAATGTCTGGACTGCAGTGGAGTGGAACACACAAGCAGCTCATTGGCAATCTATCTCCTTGCTGGTTCTTGCATACAAGGAAATGACCGGTCAATAGATAGGTTATGGGTGAGAGTCTATGCACTTCTTATTCTTGCTCTTTGATCGACTGATTGCAGGGGCGAGATGTCAAAAAGGAGTTGTTAGAGTTGACCCTTCACTTGCCAGATACGTTCAAGGATGTTTCTGATGCAGTGTGCGATTCGAAAGTTAAGCAGGCCGTCGACTACTATCGGTCGTTTGTTGCTTATGCGCACACAGAATCAGGTGTAAGTGCTGATAACTTGCTCGCCCCCCTATCCATCTCTCATCCCCCTTGCTTTTGCCACCATCTCTTTACCCCTCTTTCCCTGTCGCTTTGCCCCCCACTGGTCACAGATTTCAAGTAACCCTTCATTCCTCTTCATGCAAGTCAATATATCTTGGCCTTTCGGTTATCCATCGGTTGCATTGGAGAAAAATACCCAATCCTGATAGCGCTGTTTACCATCCCTGTTGGGATATGATCGCTGTAACCTTGTGCGATCAAAACACATAGCAAACTGGGACAGCTGCTATCAGATCTTGAATGAAATCCTATTTGGCAGCTGCTTGGTCTTACTGAACAGGTATATGGCATGTGTATAATGCTGCGTTTGCTTCCTAGGCAGGCTTTGTATTTGCTGTATGTAGAGGGGTGTGTGTCTGAGTGCATGTCTGTTTCTTGGGGGTTTCATCGGCATGCAAGTACGAGGCACAAGGCCTCGGTAAGCCCTACTGGGCCCTGTTTGCAACAGTGTCGGCCGCCCTAAGTGAAGGCAGGCCCGACCCAGGACAAGAGGCCTATTTTTGGGCTACCATGCAACTGGGGAAATTCAGGTAGTTGCGCAGCGCCAGTTGGTTGAGAGCGCCCAGGCCCTGGCTGCCTTTCTCAAATGTAACTGAGGCGGGCCCTGGGCCAGATACGCAACACAGGCCGAATACAGGCTGCGGGCAGTTGAACACGGGTAACCACTCTAGGCCCTGGGCCTGACTCCCTGGACCGGGGCTCAGCCACTTGGGGCCTACCGGAAGCTTCTGGGCAGGGGCCCAGCGCAGCCAGGCTGCACGCAGCTGGCAGGCCACTTCCATATAGGAAAGGGCCTGCCCCCGCATTTGGCATTCGGGCACTGGCTGCATGCTGCGCTATTCGCTGGCCAGTGCCCACGCGTTCACGGGCGAGCAGGAAGAGCAGGCAGCCATAGCCAAGCTGCCCTGTGCTATGCTGGATGGGGCCGCATGGTGGTCCTTGGGTGCACATGGCATCTGTGAGTGGGGGATCGAGGTTGTGAGTAATACGAGAGACATACCTGGTGCTTGAGGCGAACGGCATTGGCCGAGATCTGCTCGTACTTCGGGGAGCTTTTGACGTCACCAGCGGCATTGTAGATAGGCTAGATAGGATCTGCCATTTGTAGTCTGGGCGCAGGGCGCCAGATAGGAGTTCGACATTGGTTCTTTGTTGATGATGATGAGACTACTCCAACATTGTCACTTATGAGCTTGTGCTGTGTTCTTATTTGGTGGAACTCGAGTTGCAATTCTGCTTTTGGTTCAAGGTCACGACTATCTGGTTTCATGTGTATGATGCTGCTTGGTTTCTGGAATTCACTATCGCTCATTTTCCTTGCACAAGGGGCATGCGATTGTGTGCTTTTCTCTCTCTGTGTGTATGCACTTCTCTATGTATGCGTTTGAGTGCATGAGTAGGCACATACATGCACACACATGCACACACATGCACATGTGCTTGTACGTGGTTGAATGCATGCATTGGTGCATACATGTGTAAGCGTCCGTGCACACGTGTGTGTGCGTGCATGTGT